ATTCCACGCAGATCAGATGGAGCAGCCAAGTTTGGCACCTCGAGGAGGAAACAGGTCTGTCATGACGATCTTCTCTGGACCGCAAGGTCTTCCGCTCCAGCAATCGCCACAGCTCGAGGACAAGCTGTCTTCGAGGGGTGGAGTAGTGTTATGGCAAGTAGAGCCGGAGCCGGCCCAGGGGCCCACGCGGTACTGTAGCGCGTGATTAGATTAGATTAGATTGTTTGGTTTGTTAGGAAAGAGATATGTGGTTTGGTTTGTTAGGAAAGATATATGTTAGATTGATTCGGTTAGGATATTTCCTTAGGGGTCAAGTCAGTCATCTTTATAAAAGAAAACCATGTATCAGTTATAGTCAAGCAAGAAGCAACAATTAAGTTGCTGGCTTCTCCTGGGAGCCGGCCGTTCCTGCCCTCTCTCCCTCGCATGAACAGTACCCGCGGTACTGTAGCTCCATCGCCGCCTCTCCCTCTCCATCCTAGCAGCCACGTAACATCTACAATGACAATTTGAAAGTTCTCGGCATATAATATATGACATGTGGTTATAAGCATTTAAGATAAGACAGGGCAAAAGGGCTGAAAAGTTGAATGTATAGTTTTTGTTTAGGGTTTCGTAGTATGATAGGTAGCATCAAATTCAGTTATGATTTACTTTGCTCAGTACGATAGAAGCAAATCTTAGGAAAAACAATACAATTATAATCCTAAGGAACTCAGGATAAAGACTGGATAGGTACATCCGGAGTGGTAGACATATTCAGTTGAACAATACAATTATTAATTTATGCTGTAGTTTTGATAGAATTAAAATTAAGCAAGAGCATTCAAATTCCACATCTCTATATAAATTCCAAAGCCTATGCAAAACTCCAAAAAATATACTTAATAAACTATTGGATTTAACCACATTGAAGTCCAGTTTCTCAGCCTTTGTTTACCGTGCACATCATGCATCGGCAGTAGTGGCAAGCCCATGAACCTTCTGGAACCTGAAATCAGACAGCAGCATTAGCAAGCATTGATTTATTCAGACAAACAGACAGACCACATCATCGATTCAGATTTCAGAAACTTTGGTGTTGCATACATACCTTCAGAGCAGCTCCCTTTGATGAGGAACTTCCACATTCCTCCATCTGAACTTACTAGCATAGTCTAATCTCTCCATGTAGCTTATGTCAAATGCCTTTTTCAGGTCAGCAATCAGCAACATGTCTTTCTTCTCAACCAAATCTTTTCCAGGTTTACTACATTAACTTTATGCAGTAGCATAAACTGTGTTTTTTGGTCCTTCAATTTTGTTCGTTTGCCTTCTTCGCTGTTCTATATATATACACAATAGGTCTTCCCTTCGGCAGCTCATCACAGTGGACAGGAGGAGGAGGAGCACAACAGCTGCATTTGACCAACGGGTAAGCAGTTTAGCAGCAAGCTGCTAAGGTTCAGTCTTCATGTCGTGAACCGTCACTTTCTTGCTTTTCTAACCAATCAAGTAAACAAGACCTGTTTATCCATAGAACAACTTATTCCTATTAGTGCTTGGTTCATGCATCGGTTACACTATCACGTGACTTACTGTCATTAATTTACTGGTTTTGAACGTTTTTTATCTGAATGAAATAGAACCATCTTGTGCTGAGTCTTATGATTACTCTGGCTATATAGACATGTCCAAACCTTTGGTACCTTAACATTTGGGCATGGGTACTTATTTTTTTTTGCTCACTGGAGCATTATTTGGGCATCAGTACTGATTTCTTTTTCACTAGAGTAGCAGCTCATTCTGCATCAGTACTGATATTTTAGCTGCGGCTAGGTAACTAGAGTTTTGCTTTACTAGAGGTGAGCAAACAAAACCTCACACATCAACTGATACCACTGAAGTGAAGCTTGACAATACATTCTGCTTAGCTTTGCCATAGCCATCAACAAGGTGCTGGAGCAGACTATCCCTATTGTCAGTGTACTTGCTGGAACCAATGTTTTCACATTGTCAATTATATATAGAACTATCTGGAGCCACAGCTAGATTAAACATTAAGAGCAACTCCACCCGAACAAGAAAAGAGATCCCATTTTTCTATATTCTTGCATAAAGACGGTTGAAGTGCAAAAACATAACTCCATCGGATTTCCTTTCCAACCTCCTTTTCCTATTTTTTTCCTCAATTAAGAAAATCCCTCCCTAAATCCCTGAAAGAAAGGGGACAGCAACTTAATCCCCTTTCCCTTGACCTCTCAAGCTAGGCCACCACACACGCACAGGAGATGGCCACGGTTGCGCCAAACCATTATTCCCGGACCAAGAGAACGTGGGCCGCCACTCCGTTGTGTTGTGCGAACGAGAACAGTTGTAGTGCCTTGCAGGCGGGTAGGCAAGCGCTCCCACTACCGTGGTGTGCGGGCGAGCTGCCACCACTCCGAGAGATTAGGGAGAAAAACAAGAGGAGCAAAGATAGATCTCAATAGGGATTAAATTGGTCATCTATTGTTCTCTGGGGCTTATGGAGTCTTAGAAACAGGAAGAAGATAGAAAAGGTGTTCTCAAAATCATCTAATGAAGTTTTTCATAAAATCTTTCGCTTTGTTCAGAAATGGCACATTCTTATGAAGGTACAAGATGCAAAGTACTTGGACGACAAGATCCACAAGCTGAAAAAATGGTTGACGGTCTTCTAGAAGCGAACTGAGAATCTTCAAGTGTTATCTCCGTCAAATTAAAGAAAACAAAGATTAAATTGGTTGGTGATTAAAATGTTTCTGGCTTAAAACTTTGTCTCTTGTTAAGAATAGGTGGTGACACCATCAACGCAAAATAAATGCTGAATCCGCACTGGAAGCAACGCCCGCGATCCAATCATCCAACAGCGAGATGACGCCGAAACGCAGGCAGATGCTCATTGGAAACATGCGTGAGACGAGACCCTTTGGTCTTGGATCACGAGACCCTTGGGCCTTGGATCACACACACAGCACAGGGTGGAGCGAGCAAGGAGACAAGGAGCTAGAGACGCGTGAACTCCCAGGTAGGATAGGAGTACTACTCGTATTCTTGTCCGCCGGCAGCAGCAGTAGCAGTAGAAGGGCGATCCACATACGTAGAACACGAGCACACAGGCCCATGGCTGGGGATCGGGGCGCCGTCGGCCTCCGCGCCGTGATCTCCCGATGGGTGACCGATCGAAGGCGAGTTGAGCAAGCAGCCTCGGTGTGAGGGAAAGAAGGAAACGTCAGGGCCTTTCGATCGATCGATACTCCTCGATCCCTTTTGCTTTCTCGGTTGTCTGTCTTCTCGAGATCCATGCCAAACCGTAGTACTCCTACTTCGTCGACACAAAAATAAAAAAAATGAGGAGGCTGCGTCGGTACTCCGTACTACTCGGTGCGTTCTGCGCGGGTGGTGTGTCCAATTTTCTCACGAGAAAGCTGCGCGCATGCTCAGTTCAACGTCACTGTTCACGTCGCCAGTTTTGTTTCTCCCGTTTCAGTAGCCCGAGAGCCTTGTGGCTTCTTCTTTTGCTTTTGGCATCATTTTTATTTTAAGCAGTTAACGCGCCCTGTTCAGTACCCGGCCCGCTGAACACTGACCATCCATATATCCATCGGTACGCCTGCTCTGGTCTAATGGGCGTGGGCGGCAGAGGCAGAGCACCACCGCTTCGCTCTGCTCTGCTCAACAGCTCAACTCACCAGCCTACTCGTCGTAGGAGTAGTGCCAAAAGGGTTCATGATGATGGTATTGGCTGGCATGATTTCCCTTGGCTCGCAAGTCGTCGGCTGTCACGGCAGAGCAAGGCAAGCTCCCATGGTGATCCCCGTGATGATGCGTGCGCTCTCGTGCCAGGGGCACAAGACACGCCGTGCTCAGGCCCCCCCCCCGCCCTTAATACTGTACTACTTTACAAGGGAACTATTACGACGACGACAGTGCTTAGCTTTCTTTGCTTCCCTTTCTTTTCGCTTTGGTAGTACGGTGATACTCTACTTGCTGCCGAGCTTAGCGGTGATCATGTAGCGCAGTAGCAGCATTGGGCAATCAAACTTTGCATATAAACTTTGCGTAGTAGAATAGAATATGCGTACTCGCTCCATCCCATAAAAATGACATTAAAGAATTTGTAGCACAAATTAAGGACTTGAATACCTCTTCAAAATACTAGTGAACAATGATAAATAGTGTCAAACGGTGTCCGATAGTACTTTTCTTATCTCCGGACAAAATTTAAATGCTACAAGATCTTATTTTTATGGGACGGAAGGAGTTCTTCATAATTGATCCAGCGTGCAAATTGGTATCCCCCCTTCCTAAAAGCGTCTTCAAAAGATTAGCCAAATCGTTTTCTAAATGTAAATTTGGTTATTATTGAAGGAAAAACGTCTCCAACAGACTCTGTAAATGACTCTCCAAATTTAGTAGCTCTTCATCTCACCTAATTCGCTCTACCTTGCTAGCCATCCAGCCTTGTGTTTGCAGAGTCTGTTGGAGTACTCTAGATTTTTTTGGCAAATCTATTTTATAGAGTAGCTAAATCTGTAAATTTGGCTAGTCTTTTTGGCTAATCTCTTGGAGATGCTCTAACCCCTGAAACAGTTTCAAGAATTTCAAATTCCCGTCTAATCACAATGACCAGATCAGAAAGACACTCTTGCTGTGTTTGCATGCTTCTGAGGCCATTAAAATGGTCGTTTCAGGGCCACTTGGACATCTATTTGAATTTGAATACCACAATTTCCTGACCCTTTTTTCAATTTTCCATTTCTTCGAATGTGATAGGCACCTTCTAGTGCATACTCGTTGAAGTAATTTTTGTGGCATTTCATTCTTTCTTGTTTTTTTTTCCTTGAACAAAACTGTGGCATTTCTTTACCGTGGAAGCTATATGGTGGGCTTTCAAAATTTCACAAAAGTTAGTGCCTTCTTACTTTATATGTAAGCCAGTACAAGAAAGAAAACCATTTAAGTGATACATTTATCACCAGAGCATTTTATAACAGCAGCTAATACACAGCTTCCAAAGTCCTGAAAAGGAGAACAAAATGCCACCAAAACAAAAAAAAGAAAAAAAGAAAAAGAAAAGAGACAACTTTACAGTCACCCCCTCTAGCTATTTTAAATCAAACAAGCCTCTGCAACTCCGACCATGGCTGACGTACCCAAACGGGCGGCGACGGACAAGTCCAATGTCGTGCGCAAGCCCAGCTCCAGTCGTCCCGTACACCGGAAGCTCGTCCTCGCACGTTCTACGGTAACCGGAGCCGCTGTTCGCCGGAGCGAGCGCCGCGAAGTTCTCCAGCTCGAACAAGTCGGAGCTCGCGTCGCTGCTCTCCTCGCCGCCGTCGCTGCCCTCCACTTCGACCACCGGGAATCGCCTGCAGCCAGCCGCTGCCGCGGCCACAGCCACCTCGCCTTCGATGTCCAAGAACCGAACGGTCCTGCTCCGGCGGCTGTGGACCGCCCGCGCCCGCGCCGCCCTCGACGACGGTGGTGTCTTGGCGAGGCAGGGGCGCGCGCTGGATGGCGCCGTCGAGCACGCCGGCTCGTCGTCCGCCCGAGCCGGGTGTTGCCGCGCGGAATGCCGCTTGCCGAAGAAGATGGCGTTGAGCAGGCTGGCGAGCCGCGCGCCGGGAGAGGCCGGCCTGCGGCTGCGGCAGCCGCCGCTGGCGGGGGCGGCGGACGGCTTCCGCGCCCTCCTCGCCGCCGTGCCAGGCGGGGCCGGCTGCTGCTTCTCCGCGGGAGCCACCGAGGCCGGCCCGACAACGCCGCCAGAGGTGCGGATGGGGCGGAGGCGGCGGAGGGAGTACTCGACCTCGGACGACGAGAAGTAGCCACGGCCAGAGGAGCAGTCGTCCGCGGGCGCCGGCGCCGCGCTCGCCACCCGGTGGCTGGCGGCCAAGGAGGGCTTGTAGTAGTAGTAGTAATGCTGGGCCGCCTGCTGCTGCTTCTTGGCGCTGCCAGGCGTTGGTGCCGCGGCACGGTCCGCCGCTGCTGCATGTGCCTGACCGCCGGCTTGCTCGTCCAAGGAGTCGCAGATGGCGTCCAGCAGCGTCGACGAGAAGGACGGCTGGCCAGGCCGCCGCCTCGGCCTCTCCCGCGCCGGCGCCCACCTCTCCATTGTTGGCGCGTAGTCGAGAAGAGCAAAGCAGAGCAGAGCAGAGCAGCGTGCGGCGCAGGGCAATGATGATATAGGCGGGCTAGCTAGCGATGGAGGGGACAAGGGAGCTAGCTAGAAAGCGAAGGGGCCGGGGCAGCAATGGCGGGCGCGCGTGTGAGTCGGGGAGTGGAGTAGAGTGGAGTGCGGGCGTGCGGGGTGAGGGGATCTTGTTGTCTGGGTGTCCCTCTCTCTGCTCTGGTCCCTGCCCTGCTCTGTCCTTGATGCTTCGATTCCTTCCGGCTGCCGCCTCTCTTTCCCTTTAGCTTTGTCGGCGCCAGCACCAGGAACGTGCCACTTGCCTATCACTGCTGCCCTGCCGCCCAGCGGTTTACCGTTTTACCTAAATATATACTCCTTTTTTTTTTTCTTTTGGCACTACTCGTCGTTTTTTTTATGTAACTGGAGGGGCCAAAGCCCCTACAGGAGATTTATTAAAAGACAGAAGCACAAAAGATTAAAATAAAACAGCACAGCAAGAAAAAAAAAGAGAGAAAGAAAATGAAGAAACTATATAGAAGTCTGGTTAAGGCCAACGATTATGTCGCCGTGAGATGCTTTCCTTTGCTCTTAAAGCAGTCAAGGCCAATTCTCCGTTGAAGATAACTTGCTACTTTGTAAGTTTGGCCCAATTCCTCTGAAAATGAATTACATCGTTCCTAGCCCCCCAAATGGTACAGCACAGCAAGATGACAGCAAGGAAGAATTCTGAATTCAATTGATCTGAAGTAAAGGATTACTTCTGGGAGGCTTAATTGTGGCTGAATATCTAAGTTTAAAATTCCCCATCAGGACCTAACAAAGGTGCATTCCAGGAAGAGATGTTAGAGTGTTTCCTCTGTTGCTAGTTGACAAAGTTCGCAGTTATGTCTCCAAGTGCATGTTTTTCCTCCTAAGAGGCTGGTTGGAGGCTGTTTGTGCACAAGATATTAGAACCGGAAGATAATTACAGGTGAATAAAACTATGAAGCTCCCAAACAGGGCCTAAGGATATTCCTCCTAAGCAACCAAAAGAAGATATTGTGTTTTGGTTGGCAAATTGTTTTTCCACAGCCATCTAAAAGAAGGGTGGATTTGGTGTTGTCCAATCAACCTCTTTTAAATCTTTTTTTTCAGGTAAAAGATTTTGTTTACACCAGAATTTGGAAGAAGAGTTGCAGGGATTTGGAAGCTCCCGAAAATCATATCATCAAGGAATCAGCTGCATGGAGATCGGAGCTAGTTGATTGAACGCTTGACACTAGAATCGGCTTTCTTGAGATAGCTTTTTTGAGATAACGTGACAGAGGCTACGATCGGCGCTGGGACAAGACATGCTGGACTCTACAAAAAGGGAAAGATTAGAGTCCAAGTTATCTTAAATTAGGAATGTTTCGTTGTGCCAAAGATTGTATTGAGTTGTACTCGAGTAAGGTTCGTTTTTAGGCCCCGGGTATAAATACAAAACCCCGGCTATTGTAAAGACAACAATCAATCAAATATAAGTCAATTACTTTTTTCGCCTCCGGCCACCTCTTAGGAGTAGGAGTACATGTGGCAGAACCTCCTAAATTATAGAGCCCACATGTACCTGTCACTGTCCAACGACCTTTGACATCTATGCATATGTTGCCGGTAACTTCAGAAGACTGTCGGGTGTCATCGGAGAACCCCGAATCATCCACGATTTCCGAGCAGGATCACATTACAGAGTCATTGCAGTATTACAACATTTATTCAAATATTTACACCAGAGTAAATCAGCGGAAGTCTTACAATAACTTAGTTTACAAAATAGTAGTTTCAAACCTTACAACTAAGTTCGATAATTATTATAAAACGTAGTAGTGGAGTGGTATTATAACATAATACAAACACACAAATAGATTGCCCTGTCCAAGGGCCACGCATTTACTTATCGCCATTGGATCGAACAACCGTCATGCAGCACGGTCCAAAACAGACCTGCTCATGAGGCTCACCTGCAACAAGGGTCAACGAATCCTGAGTACAAAAGTACTCAACAAGACTTAACCAAAATAGAAACTGATAGAACTCAGGAATGCAGGCTCAGGGATTCGAGGTATGGCTTTAGCAATAATCAAAGTTCTTTTGCGTAAAAGCTCTTTAACAAAATTATTTACTTCAACATATAAAACTTTATAAGAACCACATATGAATCTGTCATGATCCGTAATGAGATCATGAACTTCATATCAAACTCTTTCTCAAACCTTACTCGAGTTCCAGTTATTAACTACGATGATGAACAGTGAGTTGAGTCTCCATAACCGAGGAGCAACGATGATTCGAACCGATTAAACCCAGCTGAGGATTCTAGACCACACGACATATGTAGGTCCCCGACCTACATATACCAACCTACCCTCAGATCCTCTAAAACAAGAACGGGTCCGCGCCACCCGAGAATACAGTACTCCACCAATCCAGCCCATTGCCACATGGGTACACGCTATTCTCGTCATCTCTCCACTCCCAGTGCGCGAGTAGCCATTCTCGTAATAGAATAGCCATGTTAAGGCTTACCGGAGTATGTGGTTAGTACTACAAAGTCTCACCTCATGCAGTTCAACAACGGACGGTTTCTTAATCGACACTGGCGGAAAGAACCCGATCGCAAGACCTCCATGTCTTGTGGCTCCCATACACCGAGTCCACCCAGTCTATATTTATTACTCCACATGATCATATCTCATGATCATATAAGTAACCAAGCGTAACCAAAGATCCATTTAAAATTCGCAGGTGACAGGTAATCACCCGACTTTTATCTGTCTAAGCATAGCTAAGCATAACTAGGTAATTACGAATTAAAACTGGTAACAAAGTAGATAGAGAAAAACAAGGTTGGTAATACACCAATTAGGTTTTCACTTAACTCCTAATCACTTAATGCAGTACTTGAAAGCAAAGGCGAGATAAATTTGTAAAACACAAGGTAGGTTTAAATGCATTCGGGGCTTGCCTTGGTTGACGGAAAAGTCCGGTTCCGGAGTCGTTCCACCGATCTCAAATCCAACCTCCACAGATGGATTAACTTCCTCCACAACTTGATTAGCTACCACGTGCTCACCAACTAATGACCCAAGGTCATCACTCAATCCAAAATTCAAACAAAAACCTAAGTCATTAAAGGTTACTATTTGCTTTTATGAATTAATTATTTAATTAAAAATTATGAAATAAATCAACTTGTTCCAATTGAGCTCAAATTTTTTGTAAAGGTTCATCACATGATAACTAAGTGGCAAAACAATTTTCATAATTTTTGGATAATTAATTAAGCCTAGAAAAATCATGGAAACCCATTTATTAATTAATTGAGCAATTTTTATCACATTCAAAAAGTACTGAAAAACAACATTTCATATTTTTTTAAATAATATACATCGCAGAGTGGTCACACAAAAATTTTCATAATTTTTGGAGCTCTAATTAATTCTACACAAAAATAACAAAAGCATACACTATTCATTCATTTCTGAAAAAGAAAAATTCCATTTTCAAATCAAACCGCCACTGACACCTTGACCCCACCTGTCATCCCCGACTTCCCGCACTGACCACGGCAACCACGTGCGCTGATCGGCGATTTCTCGCCGCCGGTGAGACCAACGGCGATGGCGAGAGCACCACCACGTTCCCTACACCCCTATGCGTCGATTGGTGGCACAAACGAGACCAAACACGGCGAAGACCGAGCATGACACCGGCCATGGCGGCCACAACGGCGCGGCCGCAAGACGCCGGTGATAGGAGACCGGTAGCTATTAAACTAAGCACATGAAAAGGATCAGAAGCTCACCCCAAACACGTTCGAGCAGGAAACAAGGCCGGAGAAGCAACGGTGAAGCGGTTCGACGTTCACAGCAACCACGGCGGAGCAAGCAACGACGACGGCGATGTTCTGGTGGCTATGGTGGACAAAATGATCAAGCAACAAGGTATTAAGCACCACAGCATCAAGGCGAATCTGGAACAACACTGAGCAAGGACAGTTACGCACCGTGGAGCACTGGCCACGGTGACGCGCGCTCGACGGAGATTCTGCTGGCCGCGAGGAAGAAAGGCGACTAGCGGTGTTTCTCGGTGAAATCAAGCTGCAATGGTTGGTTGGCTGGGTGCGTAAGGAGCAAACAAAGCTCTGATTGGCTTTGCCAAGGCTGGTTTGCGCTAAGGAGGCGATGCGAGCTCGACTGAGCTATGGCGGCGACGTTGGGAAAACAGAGGAGGAGAAAAAGAGACGAACGGCGACGGCCAAGCTATAAAGGACGGCCAAGAAGCAAGAGGAAGCCACGCTGCGGCCTTCTCCACACCAGTGCGACGCCAAAGACGGCCACGAACGCGACTAGAAGCCAGAGGAAGATCGCCGGCGGTGACAGCTGCCCGATGGTACTGTTCCCACTAATTACAAAATTGCCACTCGATTTAAAACCCAAATTACTCCCAAATTTATGTAACAACTCAAAAATCTCCAAAAATAAAAGTTGTTCAAAATTCAAAGTTCTACAACTTTTCTTTTATAACCACCCCCTAATTCGGTCTACATTTTGAAATGCAAATTTGAATTAAAAAAGGGGACATTTAAAGAATTACGCCTTTTCAAATAACTTCAAAGTTTATAAAACAACTTTGAAAACTCCAAAAACCAACTTTGTACAACTTGACAAGCTCTACACTTTTGCTTTTAGGCTCAACCCCAATATGTGCTTAGATTTTGAAATGGGTTTTCCAGGGCAAACTTAAATGCTGAAATTAGGGTGTTTGAAAATTCAAATCCAAACAAAACTTTGAACTTGATTCAAACAATACAATTCAACACATACAACATAAAGGTAAACTTGTTTTAGTGAATGCACATCAAAATTTTCACTAATACGAAATGATGTACAATGCATATGATGATATGGCAGGTTTTAGTATTTAAAACACCCGAGGTGTTACAATCCTTCCCCCTAAAAAGA